TGTCGTTTGATAGTTGAGAGGCTTTGCAATAAGCGTTGCAATGTATATTTTGTGCATCAACTATCCTTGCCCACCCGGTTCTTCACTGTTTCCAGGGCAGCCCTGTGGACCAGATCTAAACCCCCCACAGGCCAGATCTGGCCCAGGGGCTTTGAGTTTGACACCCCTGGAATACAGGCAGTCCGTGACTTACAACCATTTAGCGACCGTTTGAAGCTCCATCCAAACGGCGAAAAAGTGGCTTTAAAACGGTCCTCACACTTAGAACCGTCATAGCATCCACACAATTACATCATCAAAATGTGGGTGCTTGGCATGTCAAGGTTCTGACTAGTGAGCCCCAGCAAATCAGAACTTTTGTTTTCCTCAAAGAATTCCTTTATTGGGCACATCATATCGGCACACTTAGTGTAAAGCCAACTCTTGATTCTTTCCCGCAGTTTCAGCACAGTTCAAACCAGCAGCAACCCTTCTCCCCCCCCCCAAGTGTCACTTGTCCCATTGGCCAATTAGCTAGGTTGCCTATATTTTTTTCCCCCTTATCCTTGAACTTCCTAACAGATTCCTACCAGACATTCCATGCCTTATGGATGCAGACATAAAGGAACATTTGTAACCTGACAGCTGTTCATTCCAAATCCCTCATAGCCAGAAATAAACTAGAATGAAAAAAAAGGGATACAGAAGGGATGGGACAATTCTCCAGTCAACTTCCCTCTTGCAAAGCAAGTTACAGTACAGAAGTGGATGGTCAAAAAAGGACTACATAACCTATGGTGTGCTAGGTTGCACCCATGATTTTATACACACACACACGCACGCACGCACACGGGGAGGTCTCAAAGTAAATGTCGTCTCCTCTCTTTTGGAACCATGTAGAACTTAGAAGGTCCTCCTTAAATTTACATTACAGGTAGTCCTCGACTTACAACAGTTCATTTAGTGACCATTCATAGTCACACTACACGGAAAAAAGTGACTTATGACTGGTTTTCACATTTATGTTGTGGTCTGCCAGCGGAGCTGGTTGCAGACTCAGACAGTGAGGAGGTTGGGGAGGAACCTGGGCCAGTCCTGGAGTCTGGGGAAGGCTCTGAGGAGGGCTCTGCATTGGAGGCAGAGAGGGGGCCAGGGCAATTATCTGACAGTTATAAGCTGCCTTCGGAATTGGACATCAGTGAGGCAGATGAACAGCTGGAGCCTGTTCCCAGTGTGAGCATGCACAGAGCTGCCAGGAAAAGGGAACAGCTAAGGAACAAGGGCCGACTTGGGAGTAAAGGCACAGGTGGACGATGAATGGCTCCTCCCATAGGGAATAAATAAAGAGGAGCAAAAGGGAAGTGGAGTTTGCAGGAGACAATTAGTTCAATTCATTAGGGTGAAAATCTGTTCCTAACTTCTTGCCAAATATTTTCTGCTACTGAATGGCGTTTGGAAGATATCGGCCTGGCAACTCTCCAAGCCTGACGAAGGTCTGTAGTTGTGAAATCTCATGAAAGACAGTTGGCCGGGACTTTGCTGGAGAGGAATTCCCTTTAACCGAAATAAAAGAGGTTTTATCGGGACGAGGAGTCGGCTTCATGAACTTGGGAAGCCTAGGTCCGAACGATTTATGACCGTTGCAGTGTCCCCAGGATTATGTGATCCCCTTTTACGACCTTCTGACCAGCAAACTCAACTCACTTAACAACCGTGTGACTAACTGAACCAAAATAGCGATTCACCTAACAACTCTGGCAAAGAAGGTCATAACATGGGACAAAATTCACTTAACAACTATCTCACTTAGCAACAGCAATTTTGGGCTCAATTGTGGTCGTACGTTGAGGACTACCTGCATGGTTTTAGTGTATTTTTTTTCTTTTGTTTTTAATTGTTACCATCCAGACATCCCTTTGGGTTAGTATCCAAATTTAATAAATTAATATTGTGCTTTTTTAGGGGGGGGGGGGGGAAACAGGGAGAAGGGCCAGCAGTGCAAATAAGGAGAAAGAGGAGACAGTGAAAAACGGAGCAATTGAAACAGATCAGTCAGATTGAGTTTCTTTAAAGTTTCGTATTTTGAAAAACGAATGTTTAAAGTTTTCTTTCTTTCTTTCTTTCTTTCCTCGTCTTCTCTTTAGGAGGCTCAGTTCTCTTCCTAGCCAGCTTCTGAGCTTGGTATGGATAATGGTAGAGCGGTGGAAGGTCAAGTGGGCTTAAAACAGAAAGATGCGGAGATCAGAGTCCATGGACGTATCCTGCCGGAGGTGAGCAGTTTGCGTCTTGCTTTTTCATAACTGCAGTGGCCGTGAAGCAAGTCAGTACGGGTAATCCTCGACTTACGAGAATTCATTCAGTGACCGTTCGAAGTTGCAATGGCACTGAAAACATGACATAGGCCAGTGACGGCGAATGTTTTTTTCCTCGGGTGCCAAAAGGGCGTGCGGGCGTATGATAGCGCTCACATGTGTGCCCACACCCATAATGCAATGCCATACCCCCCTCGCATGGGCGCACAACAACAACCACCCCACGGGCATGCGCGCAGGCCTCACTGAAGCCTCCAGACGACAGTAGGTCCATTGGGATGTTTTTTGTCTTCCCCAGGCTTCAGGAAAAACCCCTGAAGCCTGGGGAGGGCAAAAAACGGCCCAAAGGGCCTACTGGAAGTTCGTTTCTGAACTTCCGGTAGGCCGTTGGTCTTGTTTTTTGCCATCCACAGGCTCCAGATGCTTTCCTGAAGCCTGGGGAAGGCGAAAAATGGCCCAAAGGGCCTACTGGAAGTTCGTTTCTGAACTTCCAGTAGGCCGTTGGACCTGTTTTTTGCCATCCACAGGCTCTGGAGGCTTTCCTGAAGCCTGGGGAGGGCGAAAAGCGGCCTCTCCCCACCCTTCGGAAAGCTGAAAATCAGCTGGCCAGTGCATGCATGTGCGTTGGAGTTGACAGAGGGCAACGCCTCACGTTCCCTCAGATATGGCCTGTGGCACACATGCCATAGGTTCGCCATCACAGACTTAAGACTGTTTTTCACACTTATGACCATTGCAGTGTCCCCATGGTCACCTGATCAGAATTTCACACGGTGGGCAATTGATTCATTTTTATGACGGTTGCAGTGTTCCAGTGTCCCTTGATTCCCCTTTTGCGACCAGCAAAGTCAATGTGGAAGCCAGGTTCACCTAACAATTGGGTTAGTAACTCAACAACTGCAGTGATTCTCTTAACAACAATGAGAATGGCAAAACGCATTTAACAAATGTCTCACTTAGCAACATAAATTTTGGGCTCGATTGTGGTCATTAGTCAAGGACTCCTTCTCCCTTAAAGCTATATGCAGGGTTTATTACAATTGCTTAACAGACAGCACGTAAAGAAGTATTTTTTGCAATTTATGCATTGGGAAATAAAAGTTTCAGTGCCATTACTGAAAAGGTTTTGTGGAAATGAATAGTGTTGACGTCCAAAGGCAGCATTGCAACATGGAAAAAAAGGCTCCTGAACAAAGAGATGGGAGCCAATGCTCCTATAGAGTTGGTTCTCGACTTACGACCACAATTGAGCCCAAAATCTCTGTTGCTGTTTGTTAAGAGAGTTTTGCTCCATTTTACGACCTTTCTTGCCACAGATGTTAAGTGAACACTGTATTTGTTAAGTTAGTAACACGATTGTTAACTGAATCTGGCTTCCCCTCGTTGCTTGTTGGAAGGTTATATAATTGGGAAGGGGGATTATATAGAGTGTGAGATCTATAATCAAAACAACATTCCTTTCTCAGAGAGTCAAGGACACTTTGCCCTGCACCTGGAGTGGTGTGACTGGGAGGCATCTCCAGTTGGGAAGGTGCCTGATTGGATCATGGGATGGACACGTGGGTGCTGGGCAGGGACTTGAACTTTCACTTGAGTGGGGAAAACCTGGAAGCTTTCAGATTCGGCTTTTCCCAGATGTGCCCATATGACATCTGTAATAAAAAGGAACTTTGAGGAACTTCAAACCTCGGAGTCGTCTTTCGCTGGGGTGTTACCTGATATCGTGAACACTGGATCCAGGGACACTGCAGCCGTCATAAATATGAACCAGTTACCAAGGATCTAAATTTTTATCATGTGGCCTCACTGGTCCTAAGTACGAAAAACAGTCTTAAGTGGCTTTTTTCAGTGCGGTTGTAACTTTGAACGGCCATTAAATGAACTGTTGTAAGTCAAGGCCTACCTGTATGCCCTCTTCTCTTGTTCCTCTCTTGTGGTTTGAATCATATGGTTACAAGTTTGAGTCTCCGACTTTAAACTCTATATCGGGGTCTCCCAACCTTGGCAACTTTTAAGACTTGTGGATTTCCAACTCCCAGCCAGCATAGTTGACTAAGGAATTCTGGGAGTTGAAGTTCACAAGTGTTAAAGTTGCCAAGCTTGGAGACCCCCTGCTCTACATGAATGGCTCTGCTGAGTTTGTTCTGTTGTTTTTTTGTGCATCCCAATCCTGCTGAAGACCCAGACTCAGGTCAGTTGAAGGCTTACTGGCTGCATTCATGTCATATTGCAAAGCTTGTTTGGGTTACCCTTAGTTAGGTATTTTGTGGCTTAGCATGCTGAGCAAACCCTGCTTGTGTCATTGTAATTCATTAATCCAGTGGAAAGTCTTTGTGTAAATGATTAAGTATCATCATCATCATCTTTTAAGGATCCCATAATCCCTTGTAGGGTGGAGTCTGGGCAACTGAATGGAGCTAGCAGAGTGTTTTAATGGCCAGATGCCCTTCCGGTTGCCAATTCAGAGTTTTGTTCAGCAGATATATTCTCATTGTGCCCAGAGAGAGAAATATTTACCTCTACCTAGGATCAAACTCACAGCCTCTTGATTGTGAGGTGAGAGTTCACCTCTAGGCACCACTCCGTGTAAATCAGAGGTAGTCAACCTTTTTATACCTACCGCTCACTTTTGTATTTCTGTTAGTAGTAAAATTTTCTAACCGCCCACCGGTTCCATATTAATGGAGATTTATAAAGTACGGAAGTAACTTTACTTTATAAAATTTATAAAGCAGAGTTACAGCAAACCCCTACCGCCCACCATGAAAGCTGGAACGCCCACTAGTGGGCGGTAGGGACCAGGTTGACTACCACTGGTGTAAATGATTACCATATTTTTCGGAGTATAAGTATTCCCCCCTCACCCGAGCACTCTACAAGCCTCCTAAAGGCCATTCATGCACTTTTTTGACAAAAACTGGTCCCATTTTTGTGAAAAACAGGCCACTTTTGGGAGGTATGCAGAGCGCAAAACCGTTTTTTAAAAAAATTTCCTCTTCAAAATCTTGGTGCGTCTTATACTCCAGTGCATCTTATACTCTGAAAAATACGGTAAGTATCCCCATTAGAAACTTTTGTACCAGATTCTGCTGCCAGTTTAAAAGCAAAGGAAACTTACCAATGACTTCCACTAAATAAAAATGTCTGCTGTTGCTTATGAGGGAGAGAGAGGGAGCCCTAGCTGCTATTTTTCTGCTCCATGATTTGGTCTCTAACCTGTTCTGGTTTTTTGGTTCCAGAACGCTGAAGAGAAAAAAAGTGTGATCCACTCCTTGCTGTCTGGGGCATTGGCTGGCGCTGTGGCCAAAACAGCCGTGGCACCGTTGGATAGGACGAAAATCATTTTCCAAGGTAGACATGAGAGTAGGATG